GGGTTGGACTAGATGACCCACAGAGGTCCCTTCCAACCCCTACTATTCTGTGATTCTGTGATTCTGTGAGGGCTACGGTAAAAACAAGCAATAAATGTGTGGATGCTGGCAGGACTCCTGAGAAATAGATGTGCCGATAGCGCCCGACCCCAGGGAGTGACAGTGCTGCCTGGCGTGGCCAAAGCGGCGTCCGGACGCGGACGGCTGCTGGCAAGGCCGCTGGTGGGCAAAGGTGTGGGCAACGTCTGTGGCAGATGGGAGCAGGAGTTCTGCAAGTGGGAAGACCAGGGAGCAAGCTTTTGTGGTCTTCCGACCCAAAACTTTCTATGATTCTGTGACATCTGGGTAGCTGGGAGTCAGATTTAGTCACGTGGGTAATAAATCATTAAATTGTTAATGATCATCTGGAGTACTCTGTCCAGTGCTGGGCTCCCCAGTTCAAGAAAGATGAGGAGCTACTGGTGGCGCGTGGACTTGGAAGGCGCGCAGCGTCTGCCCGGGGGTTGGTTTGAGGAACCTGGTGCCGCAGTCCGCTTGCTGGGCGCGTGGGCCGAGGTGCGGACGTTGCTGTGGGTGGGGGAGGCCTCTAACTATCTGCAGGGTGGGGGTCAGGAGGACGGGGCCAGACTCTTTCCAGTGGTGCCCAGCGCCAGGACAAGGGGCAACGGGCACAAACTGGAGCAGAGGAAGCTCCAGCTGAACCCGAGGAAGAACTTCTTCCCTCTGAGGGTGACGGAGCCCTGGCCCAGGCTGCCCAGAGGGGCTGTGGAGTCTCCTTCTCTGGAGATATTCCAGCCCCGCCTGGCCGCGGTGCTGTGCCCCCTGCTCTGGGTGACCCTGCTTGGGCAGGGGGTTGGGCTGGGTGACCCACAGAGGGCCCTGCCAACCCTGACCATGCTGGGATTCTAGGATTCTGTTAAATCCAGTGGGATTAATGATGAATTGGGAAATGAAGCAGCTTTCATAGGTCACTACATCACACGATTTGCAGTAGATGTTCAGCTGAAGATCTGCACTTGGAGATTCTCAGGCTCTCCCTTCAGGACATTGTCGCAGTGGATATTTGTATAAAATCATATGAAAAGAAGCGGTCGGTTGAAGGTACTGTGGGAGTTAGGAACTTGAGCTGAGCAGAGTCGATATTTCATTTTTAGAAAAGATGCCATCCGATGTATTACATCCTCGCACAGAAAAGAGATTTGTGGTGCGGTTGCGATAGAATTAATGAAGAAAAATTATATGTTTTAAAATGTTACTGACCCTGGAAAAAACTGCGCACAGCAGAAAGAAGTGTTTCTATAAAGGCTTTCTTCTTAAAATTATACAAACGTGCACAAGTTAGCTTGCTGGGTTTTTCCCCTCTCCAACGTGGTAAACATGAGTAATAACCTCAAAAGCTGTAAGGGGAACAGGCAATTTCTGCTTGGAACAGCAGTACTGCGGGCAACGAGTCAGAAATGAGAGAAAATCTGCAATGATGATGGTAATACCTTACATCTGCTGGGAGACTCGAGAGGGCCAACAAGGCAGTGTAAACGCTCGGTCGCTGACGGAGGAATCTGAATTAGTGCTCGCGCCGCATACTGATTTATTGAACTAAAATGGAGACAGCGTTGGGCATTCCCCCCCTTTCCTTCGAGGCAGGGCTGTTCCTCAGCAGAGCGGCCAGGGGTCTGTTTGTTTTACACCGAAGCAGAAGAACACGTAGCCGTTGGATCCGGCCGAAATGGCGTGCTGGTGGGGTGGGCTGCTCCCGTTGCCAGGGTCCGGACTCGCTGTGCCCGTGGAGCTCGCGCGGGGTTGAGCCGGAGGGAAGTTACCCTGCACTGCTTCCTTCCCTTCTTTTTGCCATCTTTTGGGCCCTGCTAAAGCCTGCAGGTGTTGAACAGGGAGGAGAACGCTGGGTGCATCTTTTCTGCCTAACCCAGCGTTGGATTTTCTGTTTCCTTTCAGGTTTGACTTTGAAAGTTTGGAGAACAACGTGGAAAACTCGATGGACAAGTCCAAGCCTTGGAGCCGGTCGATCGAGGACCTGCACCGAGGCAGTAATTTACCCTCGCCGGTCGGCAACAGCATCTCCCGCTCTGGCAGGCACTCGAACTTGCGGTAAGGGGTTAAATCAGGCAGCGAGTGCCGGAGTGAGGAGAGTCGGGGTGCTTTCCCAGCTGGAATATTTTCCATCGTCCCTCTTTCCACGGTATAGGCTGGACGTGAATAGGAAAGATCTCATTGTACTGATGATTTTGAGGTGGAAAGAAGTGCTGAGCTAGGAACACGGGGCAGCGTTGCAGAGCAACGGAGGAAGCGACGAGAAGCGCTCTGCCTCCCTTTCCAGTGGCAGAATGAGCGAGGGATGCAGGAGGCGTTTCCATCAGGTACAGCGAGCCTGCACAGGGGAAGCAGTTCCTCTGCTCCAGAGAATGGCTCAATATTTCCACCTCCCCAGCCAGTCTGGGGTTCCAACCTGGCGTCTCGTCCAAGGAGGTCTCTTCTAGCAAGCGCATTCCTTCCGTGCTGCTATGAGCAAGTTTGGGGATTTTTTTGGTTTTTTTCAAAAGGCCACTTCCATCCTTGGAGCCTGCTGTTAATTCTGGCAGCACCCCAGGCGTTACGGCGAAGTCTCTCTTCCCGAATGCTGGGGTTCTCTTCCAGTTTGTGGACCAGGCAGGATCGCTGCCCGAGACCGTGGCAGTCAGCTCTGTTACATTCCTTGGGTGTTTCACTAGTATAAAACCTACCAAACGCCGCCTTCAGACTAACAGATCATTCTCTGGAGATATTCCAGACCCACCTGGACGCGGTCCTGCTCTGGGTGACCCTGCTTGGGCAGGGGGTGGGACTGGGTGACCCACAGAGGTCCCTGCCAACCCCAACCATGCTGGGGTTCTGTAGCGGTGCTGTCACCCAGGGGCACAGCTCAGGGTGCAGAATGGCGTTGACTCACCCGCTTTTGGACTGTTGTTGGCTTTTGTGGAGTTCTGTCACATTGTGCTTGGAGCGTGAAGGAGTCCAGAAAAGATGGGGCCAGGGAGGACTCGCAGCTTCTTCCTACCTCTGCCATTTGAGGTTCGGTTTCGGTCTGTCGGTCGGTGGTGGTGCTGGCTCTTCAGCTGATGCTGAGCGAGTGCCTGCTGCCTGGAGACGTCCTTCGCAGATTCGGGCAGCGCAGAGGAGGGGACAGACACGCAGTCCTGGTAAAGAGACCCAGGCTGTGGAGCACGGCAAAGTCGCTTGGCCAGTTGATTTTTTTCTCCCCCCTCCCAAATGTGACAAAGGTGTCCTTGGTGGTTTTTGTTTTGTTTGATCTTTAATTACTACGACAGAGAAGTGGTAGAGCCTTGTGCTTGCAGGAGGTTGTCTGGTTCTGCTCTCTGTCTTTGGGAGGCGTGTTGGTGATGAGTTACACTAGAGATGCTGAAGTCAGGTGTACGTTACGTCTCTTACATTTTTTTCTCTTCATTTCCTTCCATCCTTTTTCCTTTTTCGCATCCCGCTTTATTCCTTACCATTTTTATTTTCCATTTCAACGTCTCTTTCCTCGCATCCTTCATTCCCCTCCCCTGTTCATCCGCTCTGCTCCATTTCTCCCTCTCGCATCCTTCCCTCCTCTGCTCTCGGCCGCCTCTCCCGTGCCGTCAGATCGGTTTCTCTGCCTGAGCACCTCCAGCTCAAACGCCTCCAGAGCTGCTTTTCGGCCAACTGCCTCTGGAGCGGCTTCACTTTGCGCTCTGCTGATGAGGCTCCGAGCCGGAAAATCCCGTAAGTCCGGGGCGCCAGGGTCCCCGCGGCGCGGGCGGTGCGGGGCACGGGCGCCGCGTG